TTTTTTTGCCTTGGAACTTTTGTTTTGTAATTTTTGTTGGAATTTTTTGTATGTGTTTAAGGGACTGAATTTGGATGTTGATTGTTTCTGTTATAAAAGTGTACTGACTGAATATAGAAACACTCTACGGGCATATCAATAGAAATGCTTTGAAGTCGGAATCTCAGACTACTTTGATCACCAAGTTTTGCTGTTTGAAATAATAGATATAAAAATTCGATTTCGATAAAATTAAAATTATCAGGCTCGATAAAAAGATTAATATATAGCTGCGCCCAGTCGCCGCGAGGGGAGGACTTTCATAATGTTCTATATTAATATTTAGTATAATGTCCATGTAATATTAAGAATATGGGCAACCTTGTGGGGTTTTCAGATGGGTCCATCGAATTTGGACAAACCTGTGTATCCCTTATTATTTAAGTGGCTTTCTCTCTAGATATAACTATATAACATTCTACCCTCTGATCACGAATGTAATTCCAGTTGTTCATATAATGCATTGCCATTAATTCAAAATCCTAAATTTAAATAATCGACTATAAAGAGAGTGAGAGAGAAAGAGAGAGATATCCTCTAATTCAAAAAAATCACATCTTTATTTTTATACTAAATACAGTGTCTTCATTATTGTTCTATATCGTTATTTGAACCGCCTAAATTCGAGAATTTATTAATGTTGCTATTTGAAATGCCCATTTTTGGGTATTTACTGTTGCGGGGCGAAGCAGGTTCGGCTGAAGGTGATATACATTTGAGATGGTCTTGTTGCCTTTTATCACGACTGCAGGGGCAGTTGCCCCCGAATTGCATAGACTCCAAGTGGAGCTGGACCTCGTTTAGGTATTCCTGGAACTGATCTCCCATTAGGCTGTCCGTGACTTTATCCTTACACACTTTGCAGACGCGCCAATATTTCATGCTATTGGCAATATCTCTGCAGAATCGATAATCGGTTGCGGTATAGCGAACAGATTTCCTTGCTTCTGGATAATACATGAAAATAAATAACAGAAATAAAGTATTAAATTGTAAATCTTTTACAGTTACTAATTCTACTTGCCCTTCTCTTTGGCCAACAACTGTTTCTTATGCAAATTGCTTAATAGAGCCTGCGACATAAAGACCTGGGCCACGTCGTACTCCCGCAGTGCATAGACCTTGGGCACAATATCGTAGTTATTGATCCATTTATTGCATACGCCGTTGTGATTGAAGCCCATATATGGTACCCAAGTCCAATAAGCGGCATCCATGAAATCCCGGCAATATTTATCTTTAGTCTTCTTGGTTGTCATATATTTATTGCACACATATCGATTATAGAATCGATAGGTCAATGTCATTAAGAGGTCCTTTACTTTTGAGCTGCTCCTAAAAGAAGAAGGAAAACAATGAATAACTATATCAATAACATCTATATAAATATCGATAATTTGATATATATATATATCGATCAGCTACTACTTACGGCTCCACACACAGACTAACATATCCAGGTAGATGCCCAGTTCGCATCATCGTGTGCAACTTCAGGGCAAACGTATTCAGCAGCTCCTCCACGTACTGCAGTTGCATGTTCTTGAGGAAGAGCATGTTATTGATATGCTTGCGCGACCACCAGCCGCGGAAGAAGGCCTGAATCTTCAGGGATGCATTGTAGTACATAATCTGTATTGCATCTTGCGTGCGCTCCTGTGCGAAGATTATCAGATGTCGCTTGCCCACACATCGACGCCAAGCCCTCTGAATAACTAGGGCCGCTTTCAGCTCTCTCTGCATTCGCTGACGAACGATAAAGCCACGAACATGTCTTTGTATGGTGCGAGCGGCCTTAAATTGTTTGTAGTCTAGTAATAGCAGTTGAGTGCTAAATATTTGATGAAGAACGTATTGAGAATTGTATATGCTTTGATTTGATTTATTTATTTACCGTAACATATGTTCCTGCATAGGAAAAAGGGAACCTGAAGAGTCGGTTTTATGGCTGCATTCATCCTTCTGGCTATCTAATTTGCGACCGTTAACCGAGTGATACGAAAGTAGACCTAAATCTGCCATTGGAAACATGTCTATATGTGTATTTTATTGTATTGAGTATTGAGTGCAGTTTATTGTTTATTATCGTGTGAGAATTGTGAGTAGAATGTGCTTGTGTTGAAATTGTGTGAATATTTCTGAGGAGTCTGGGGTAAACTGATATGTAGATGAAATGTATAGTAGACAATATGAGACTGTATATGAGAGTTAATATAAAGTATGTGGTTGACTTGGCTCTCAATAGAGCAACTGCTCATATTATCTATTATATCATACTAACTAATTGTGGTATAACAACAAATGCGAGTGATCTATTTTTATCTTGTATGATAATAAAATGTCGCTTTTAAAATTGATATAAATTGATTGTCGTACTCAGTAATTTATATTGATTTGAATATTTGGTTTTTCACCTTTTAATGAATATACGATGTCTTTTACTATTTTTGCAATCATAATATTTATAGTTTTATTTATTTTTTATTTTATTTTTTTTTTTTTTTAATTTCTTGCTATAAAATTTTATAAATTTATTTATTCCGTAATGTCAAGTAAAAACTGCTCTAAGTTGTAAGACAGGATATATTTTTTGTTAAATGGATTGTATATCTTTTATTTAGTGATCTTTTAGCTCTATAAATAGATCTGTAAATGTAAATTTCTTATATAGCAAACGCTAGCCCAATTGAAATAAACAAATTAAGAATAACCATAAAATTCGTGAATTTAGCATTCATATGCTGGCACAATTTATTTGTCAATGCGTAAACATAAATCATTAAACTCTATATATTCTCTACTCCTTTTTACATCCATTAGTTTCGCTAAACTTTACGATAAACATGTCTATGGTTAATTTTTTTTTTTTTTTTTGCCTTATTGCGCCATTATTTGTACATGTTTTTCCTTCTTCCTAAATGAAGTAAATAATAATTAAATATTTGCGATTTGATAAGTTCTTTTAGAGTACTTGCTTTGGGCTTGTAGGTAGAACTGGTTTTTTGTGTGATTTCGGGCTGCATTTTAGAAGCTCTGGCTGTTTCTTATCCATCGAGCAATTGCAGTTGGCCACAAATTGCATTTGCTCCAGAAAAAATTTGATATTGGATAGATAATTTTTAAATTGATCGCCCATTAGGCTGTCCGTGACCTTATCCTTACACACATCACAGGCGCGCCAGAATCTCATGCTGTTTGCGACATCTCGGCAGAAAAGCGCTTCTTTTCCACCATATCGAAAACTTTTCCTTAATGCTAGATGAGAAATACTGGTAATGAAAAGAAATTAAATGGCGTTTTGCTTAATTCAACTTGCCCCTTTCTTTTTCCAGAAATCGTTTCTGTAAATCGGTCATTCGACTCTGTGTCAAAAAGATCTGTAAAATGTCGTATTCACGATTTTCATACTCTTTGGGCATAATATCATATTGAGGTGCCCATCGCTTGCATGCACTATTGTGATTGAAGCCCATGAATGGCAGACCAGTACGAAAAGCGGCATCCATGAAATCGCGACGATGTTTCTCCATATCAGATTTCCTTACCATATATTTATTGCACACATATCGATTATAGAATCGATAGGTCAATATCGTTAGCAGGTCATTTACTTTAGAACTGTGCCTAAAGGAAGCACAACAATTCGATCAAGTGAAAAAAGTGAGAGTAGCTAAACATGCGATCGATCAACTACAACTTACGGCTCCTTACACAAACTAGCATATCCTGGCAGATGCCCAGTTCGCATCATCGTGTGCAACTTCAAGGCATACGCATAGATCAGCTCCTCCACACATTGCAGCTGCATGTTCTTGAGGAAGAGCATATTGTTAACATACTTGCGCGACCACCAGCCGCGGAAGTAGGACTGTATCTTTACACACGAATCGTGGTACATGATCTGTATTGACTCCTGAGTGCGCTCCTGTGCGAAAATAATCAGATGTCGCTTGGCCGCACATCGACGCCAAGCCCTCTGAATAATTATGGCTGCTTTCAGCTCTCTCTGCATTCGCTGACGAACGATAAAGCCACGAACATGTCTTTGTATGGTGCGAGCGGCCATGAACTGTTTGTAGTCTAGTAGCAGCAGTTGAGTGCTAAATGTTTGATGAAGAATTTATTTAGATATGATATGTTGGATAATTTTTTTTATTTATTTACCGTAACATATATTGCTCGACCGGATATATTGAGCTTACAGATTCACTGCCATGGTTATTTAGACATTCCCTACTATTGTCAACCGATTGGCTACTAACATACGAGAGATATGATGGAAGCATTTTTTTAAAGTTGTATTGAGTACTGTTTACGTCCGTGTACGGATTGTGAATGAAGTCGGCCTCAGCAGTGCTATATACATATATATTTCTCAAAAGTCTTGGGTAAATTGATATGTTGTTGAAATTTATAGTAATATATAACTGAGTATAGGTTTCTTATTGTGCTGGATTGGAATATACCTTGAACTAAAAGAAGGGTGAATGTTGTAATTATTTTGCGTTTTTTTCTGCTTTGGTAGATTTCTTTTCCTATGGGAAATTTTTTGTTGAACAACTTATTGAATGTATTTTTCAAAGTAATACTCTTTTATTTCATATAAGTTGTTAAGTAATCATTTCATATCACTAAAAAACGAATTCAAGAAATATAAGTCTAATTATCGATTTTTATCGATTGTCAAATGTTATTACCTATCGAAATCATGATAAGCTTTTAATGGTATGGTATGCATGTTACATGCATTACTTATATCTATGGCTATGGCTATATCAACTTAGCTCATCTTCCTGATCAATATACATACATATATATAATTTGCCCCACAAAACATGCACAACTTGAATTTCTAATTTTATAATAGCTAATTTGTAAGCTAAATATGCCAATAATCTATGTCCTAAAGACCAAATCAAATAAGATAAAATTCAAACGCATTTTTTAGAGCCAAAAGTCATTCATTATATAATTGATACCAGAATTTACAACTCCACCATCCGAACAAACAATAAATTTTATACCAGAAAACTATTCCTGTTAAGTTTTCGAAAGAAGCCACTGAGCGTAAACAAGTGAATCAGATGACAGTGTAGCATTATTGAATCATTGAAGCCTTGGAATAAAGATAGATCGATATGATTCCCAGGCGTTCGTATAATAGCCAAGAACTCATGCATAAATGTGAGATGGTAGATTAAAGATAAGCAACGAACTCGCCATCGTCCTAATCAAAATCCACATTTGCGTTTTTGAACTTGTACGTGTATATATTAGTCACTGAAAAAGCAAAGAAAGACCACATTAGATATTTTAAATATATATGGGTTTACCTTTAGGATAAATCTTACACTTACAGTCCGAGTAATATCCAGTTGTGTGTATGTCAAGCCGGGTATAAATTCTCTGCCGATATTATTGTATTAGCACACGGAAACCAAAATCGGAGATATCATTCATCAAAATATTGTTTTGGTACTTATTGAAGGTC